TTCCTGTTTTGCTTTTATGGTTTTAATGCTTTTTCAGTGATTATTATATAATGTTTTATTTATAATGTTTCATTGGATTGCTGTATGCCATCCTGAGTCACTTTCCATGAGACGGGCAGCCATATAAATACGATTAATAAATAAAAAATACAAACATAAAAGAAATACTTTGTCAGAAGAAACAGTAAATAAACTTCTAATGAACATACTGGTGAAAGAACTAACTGCGGACTCCTGAACAGCTTTGTCCCAGCTTAAATCAATCTTCTATACAACACAGGATTCATGCTCTTTCAAACGATGTCTAAAATGCCCTCATATGCGCTGACAAGCACTATGGAATGCACCAGTCAAGTGTTATACTGGCATATGCCTCTGCAGAAGCCAGGGGGCTAGTTTCTCCTACATGACCATAAAGTGTCTCCAAATTTGCTATGGAGGACAGTTCCCAGCAAAGCAGGAACAACTTACCTCCTCTGTAGTTAAGTTGGCCTCCTCGCAATGGGCTTTTCAGAAGGCGTTGAGGAGAGCGCTCGGACTTTTCTGTTTTCAGGAGGAATTATATTTTCCATCTCAATTGGGATGGTTGGGATTCAAAGAAGGGCATTTATGATGGGCTCGTGTATGTTTTTGACTTGTAAACCATCCTCAGTCAATCCAGTTGGACGATACTGTATTTGTGCATTTATTTCATAATTGTTATTATCACAGTATTAAAATGGCATATTTTTCTTTTTTTTAAATTCATCCCAGATGCAGTCATGTCATAAATGTTTAATAATACAAAAACAAGTAAAAATTGTTTCATTTCAAATATTTTATGATAAGCACAAAGCTGATTCTTTCAGCTTCGTAATAGTTGCACGAAGGAATAACATAGTGCCACCTTTTTCTCACGGGCTGCTTGCCTCATTTCACAGCACGAAACTGGGTTAATGCAGCAGCATCAAAAGGATATATATAAACAATAGCATAGAAGATTTGAGATCCCATTCAGTTGCTTAAGAAGGCCTCTTGGACAATTTGTAGCTAGAGGAGTATTAGAAGGAAGCAAATGAAACTGACAGCTCCCTTTTAAATGTCTATAAATTGGAGAACAAGTTATAGAGATTGTCTGTGAAATCACAGACTTAAAACATACATTATTGCTAATAAATTGTTCTGTGATAAGTGCAGAGGAGGAAGTAAGTAAATTCAATTGTTATCTTCCATCTCTCTGGTCAGCCTGCTTGCCTTGGCTATCTAATTATTATTGATCTGTCTGGTAAATGAATGGAAAGACATGGCTGAATCGGGGTCATGGAAACAGTGGTAAAGGCCTAAACTGGCATTAGCAAATCCGTGGATTTAGTAGGTCTATTATAGCAGTGAGCTTCTTGTTAAAGAGACACTAATTTACCATAATATTTTTGTTGGTCAGTGGCCAGATGGCATAAGAAATGTCCCCTGTTGTTAGAGAATTAACTGTGATCTTTGTAAGCAACAAAGAGGGACATTTTCCTGTTGGATTTGTTTATATCAGCAGTAGAACCATTCTGTATTTGGGGGGGTCTGTATTCTGTTCTTTTTCTCTTGCCTGTATACTATAATATATGGGCAAAAAAGCAATAAAATGAAATGAAAAGTTCAGGGGAGTAGAGAACAACTGGCCCAATTGATTGATACAGTAAGTCATTTTTTAAAGTAACAATATATTTTCCCTAAATTTTGGCAAGGTTTTGCATAACTTATTGTACCTGATTTAAATAAACTCATTTAAATCAACTGTGAACGTTGTCTTATTGAATTACAGAAATAAAATGCTGCCTAGACAAGGTAAAAGATGAGGATTGTTTTTGTTTCCAGATTTATTGATGATGGGAAAAGATATAAAATTAACACACCAAATGTATTTATGAGGGGGAAAAAATGGTACTTTAACTATACAACAATAATGGATGACCAGGCTCTTATGTCCTTCTATCTGTCTTAAATAACTTTAGTAATATTAATGCAATGGCTGCTGTCTGTCCTGTATAGTGGCTTTCTCTTGGTTCTGCACATATCAACATGTTCCATAATAAGCACTTAACTTGCTGATCCCATCATATAGCAATAGCACTTAAGACTTATATACCACTTCATAGTATTTTTATTACAGCCCTCTCTAACCAGTTTAGAGTCAGCATATTGCCCCCAACAATCTGGGTCCTCATTTTATCGTCAGAAGCATGGAAAGCTGAGTCAACCTTGAGCCTGGTGAGATTCAAATTCCTGGCAGTGGCCAGTTAGCCTACAATACTGCAACACCATGGCTCCCTAATCATATATTACATAGAGCCACCATAAGGGCCACAACTACTCTTAAGAATCAACAAAATGTTCATTTTCCCAGAGTCCTCTGAAACATGCATTCCATATGCCCTTTGAACAACCCCTTTATTAATTTGCCAAATTCAGTGGATTCCAGAATAACTGAATTTCATTTGAGAATGAATTGCATTATGGACAGGAAATGCATACGGACAGCCCCGTTAATTTATATAGCATCAACTTCATTTTGATAGCTAAATTATATTATGTATCCTCGTCTACTTTGCAGCCTAAAATTTCATGGAAGTTTCATGGAAGAAGCTTCCGTTCTATTTAAGAACTAACCCTAACCCTAACCCCAAACAGTTGTAATAAGGTTAACTTCCATTTTCTTAATTCTCTGCTAACACAGTCAATGGTTGTGCTGGACAGGAGTTAAGGAAGCTGAAGTCTAGTATCTCTGGCAAGAGGCGAAGGTGGGGAAAATTGATCCATGTAGCTTTTGGCAGCATTTCCTAAGCAAAAATAACTACTCTCTTCCAAAGAATGAAGACTTTGAACTAGAACAAGAAAAATAATTATGTGAAAGAGCCCAAAGGCTTTTGTCCAAACGACAACTGGACTTTTTTGGCGGGGAGGTGTCCCCCGTGAAAGTATTTTGCTTTTCATCTCCAAGAACCTTCTTCAGTTCATCCAAGCTTCTCAACCAGGCTTCTTGGAAAATATTTTCAAGGAAAAAATGAAGCGGCAAGCCTTTCAACAATAGGTTTGGCATTCCCTATAATGCTGAACTTGTCACAGCCTCTCCAGTGGTGAGATTCAAATTTGTTTTACTACCGGTTCTGTGGGCGTGGATTGGTGAGTGTGGCAGGGGAAGAATACTGTAAAATCTCCAGTCAGAGGTAGTATTTGCCAGTTTTCTGAACTACTCAAAAGTTTCGCTTACCTGTTCTCCAGAACTGGTCAGAACCTGCTGAATACCACCTCTGAGCCTCTCCCTTTATGTTGGTCGACTTTGGTAGAACTTCCTTTATAGGTTAACTTTATGGAATGAGAATGAAAAACTTCCAACTCAACAGATTTTGCTGAACCACAATTCCTAACAGCCATAGTCGGCATGGCCAATCATGACTTTAATCTTACATCCTTATAAATATCAGGGGCCAAACTCACTGCAGAGAATAGCCTGAATATATTATATATACATTTTCACTCTTTAGGGAAAATGTGAACCAAGTAATACTATTATATTTTTACACAGTGTTTACCAGTTTCTTCATCTCTTGGTTCATTTGATCAAATCATTCCCATATTTCTGGTTTGCTATTCCTGGCTAACAACAAATGAAAATTACTTCTTTTAGAGCTCCTTAAAATTATTCAAGAGTGAAAATACAAGAATGTTACATGCCAGGTTTTTTTTTTTTTCATGTAAGATAGCAATATCAAAAACTGGTCTTATCATTTCTACCGTGTTTCCAAATTAATAATCAAAACATATAGGATACTAAAATACAGCAGATTTTATGTGGCTTTGCTGTTTGTTAAATATTCTCGGCAACTGGAGTTTGAACAGAAATAATTGCAACCTTCTAAATGGTACAGGTAATCCTTGACTTACAACTGATTGCTTAGTAACAGTTTTAGAGGGTTACTTATGACTTGGATTTGAAGTTCCAACAGTTGCCTCCTCCTCATGCCTACGAGCAAAATTGGCCCATATCAAATCTTTTGCAGTTTGCTAAATGACCACTGCAAAAAAGATTACAAAATCAGGTCAGTCATGTGGGTGACCCAATGTATGACTGTCAAGACATACAACTGTAGTGGGCAGGCTCCATTATGGTCATAACTTACTTGTACGTAACTACAGCTTTCAGCTGTTCTAGCAGGATGGGAGATCTATATAGGATGGGAGATCTGGGTCAGAAGATATCTGCAGACCCTTCACATCCTGGACATAGTTTCAATTCCTCCCCTTGCAATGCTACTTATAGGGCACTGCATGCCAAAACTAGATGCAAGGACAGTTTTTTCCCTCCATGCAATCACTCTGCTGAACATCTAATTTGTACAGTGCTGTCTAATGTCTATTCCAAAGGTGCTTTTTCAAAAGGCAAATGGACTTTTATTTTTCTTAAAAAGCAGCTTTGGGACAACCATGAGCTGGATGACTGAAAATCTCCACTGAGGTCTAATCTCTATTTTATTTATGGATGTAGTGTGGTTGTACTAGTATTATTTATCCTTATTATCTTCTTCACTCCCCCCTTTTATTGGTATTATTATTATTATGAGTACTATTCTGTTGCTTTACTTGTACACTGAGTGCTTTTGTACCGAAGACAAATTCCTTATGCGTCCAACGACACATGGCTAAATGAAAGTTAAATTCAAGTCTATTCCTAATAGGAAATGATGGGAATTGTAGTTGAGTTATATCTGCCCATATGCACCCTTTGTACCTCTGACATAGAGGTTTGGATTGGAAATGGGCATTCGAGGAATATTTTAAAAGAAATTTAGGTAATTTATAATTTGAAATTAAATCCAACAGATGCTTAAATCCAACTTTTCAGGATTACCATAATACAATCCTCTACCAAAATGCTAATACTGAACTCAAAAGGATTTCAGAAAACAGATTTGTCAAAAGCTGTAATAAAATGGACCACTCTGAACAGATGATAATGACTATTACATGCCACAAGCAGATCATTTTATTCCAGGAGGGCTCTTGTACAGTATTGCAATTTGGCCACATTACAAAGCTATAATTTATTTAGGTACCTGTAGCAATTTTCAAATGAAAAGAAAACTTTTAAAATTTAGAATTTTACTAAAAGAAGTATGTACATAAAAGAGTTTGCTAGCCAGAATGAGAGTTTGTAGACCCATTCTTTACATCACTTCAGAAAGTACCAGAACACCTAGCAAGACCAGGCAAGGCAGGACAAGCTAGTCTTCCACCCAAATCAGAGGACTTCAAAGCGTTTATTTCAGGTGGTTCAAGGGAGCATCACTGGATACAATGTTACCATTTTGACCATTTAGTTCATTTCAGATCATATGTACATTTCAACAAAATAAACTTTTAAACGCACTATTTTACTTTATTTATTAAATTTATATGCCGCCCATCTTCCTGATAGGGCGACTTGGGGCAACCTACAGAACATAAGTATGCAGCTTAGTTATTGCCAAATGTGGTACTTGAGTAGCTCACGTACGCTAAAGGAACAACACTAGGCTCTAGTGAATGGGTTGTTCAGTAGAAAAATGCTGTAGGAAAAGTTTCACGACTTTTCTTCCTAAAGTATAGCTATGCATGTTTTAAAAATCAATTTTGAGATATAAATGATGGTTGTCTATCCTTAGGCTCAGAAGGATATGTATTTACAAAGGAGTTTAAAAGAACCGGGCTGCAGCTGACATTTAATCACTATCATCAGATCCATGATATGAGCCTCGTTCGGAAGCCTCGTTGTTGGAAGCCTCTGGCTCAGACTCATTAGCCGAGCCCTCATTGTCAGAGACTCTCTCTGAATCTCTGTCAGAATCAGGACTGCGGGAAGCTGGGCGAGATTCGTTCTCAGAACCACCGGACTGACTTCTTCCTGACTGCACAGACTCATTATCCGATGGCTCTAAATCAGACTGTCTTCTCTTTCTCACTGAACCATCACTGTCCGAGTCTTCATCCGAAGGGCGGGCACTGGATCGCCTGGGACTGCCTCCCTCGCTGCCAGACTTGTTACTGTTGTCCATATCACTGTCAGACACAACATTTTTGTTACGCTGCTGCTCGGCATCATCTGAGTCACTGTTGCTGTTCCTGGCATTGCTGTTCAAGAAAGAAGAGAAAATAAAATGCAAACATCTGAAGCAGAACATTAAGCTACAGAAGAAATACTACCAGTTCCTGGGAGTTATGTTAATTTTGTCCAGCATAATAGATCTTATGCCAAGAAAATTAGATGAAATATCATTTGTGAGAATTTGTTCTTGTTTATGTATGGTATACTGAGACTGTCCTTAAGCTGTTACCTCTATAGTTTTTGAGGTGTCAGCTTACACCTTTTCATATAATTTTGTAGCTAGGAAACAAAGTACTGATTAACTACATTTATACATTTTCAGGAAGTTTAATTGTGCATAATTGCACAAGATATTACTGAAATATTTTGAATAAAACCATCTCAAATATGAAAGATCATTTCTGATCTTGAGACAGAGTTTAACCTCAAAATACTTCCCAAATGTTCTAAATGGCTATCTTTGGAGTGCAAATCAGCTGCTTCCCATTAGAAGTAGGATATTTCTTGAATCAAAATGTTTTGCACATCGTTAGTGATTTTGGTGTGTTTTCCACATAGATACAGAATTATCCCCATGCACAAAATCAGGATTAAGTACAATGAGCATAAAGGCCAAACAGACATCTTATGACATCTGTTCTGCTACAGTCATTAAGCAAATTTCCTGCAGTCTTTAAGTGCAACATCACATTATCATGCCAGCTTCCCAATGACTTTGTTGGAAGCCAGCCGCGAAGGTTGCAGTTTGATCTAGTCGTAAAAGCACCAGACTAGAAAGTAGGAGATTGTGAGTTCAATTCCTGCCTTAACCATAAAAGCCATCTGGATGACTTTGGGCCAATACACTCACTCAGTCCAACCACCTCATAGGGAAGTGTTGTGAGGAAAATAGGAGGAGGAAAGTGTATTGGGTATGTTTGCTATCTTGAGTTATTTGTAAAAATAAAAATAAAGGTAGGATATGAATAAATAAAATGGCAATCACATAACTGTGGGATATTACAACCATTGTAAATGACTGCCAGTTGACGAATGTCTGAATTTTGATCACATGACTGTGGAGGATGCTGAGGACTGGTTATAAACCTAACTTTCAACATAAATTTGAATGGTCACTAAACAGGGCAGTGATTAATCAAGGACTAACTGTACCCATGAAAACACAGAAAACACTAATAGATTTTGTGTTTTTCATAAGAAATATAAAACACTGTATCAAGAGGAAACATAATAAGACTCACTTGGTTTACCTGGATTTTTAAAAGGTTTCTTAATCTTTCATAATTTAGTTCTATTACTGTTCAATTGAATGTTATTTAGGACTAGGATGTATTCACTTTGTATTTTTCACAGTTTTGAAATGGAGAAGAAAATACTATGTTACCCGTGACTCCATTTTTATCAGAATAAATCAATCACTAATGCCTTCCTATGGGGGAAAATGTACATACCCATCATCAGCAATTTTGAGTTTATCTTCATCAGATGAGTCATCGCTTGATGAAATGATGGCTTTAGATTTGATTTTTCCCTTCATTGAAAGAGGCAAGCGTTCTGGCTTGGACTACAGATAGGGGAAAAAATATGATAGAACTTGTGAAGAAAATTGACTTTCAGCTCTTTAATTAAAAAAAACCTATCAAATATTCCTATTACAGAAGCTTATGGTGGAAAAGTAAAACAATTTAGATATAAGGTGGCTGTGCATTTCTCTTTCTATCCACGTCTTATTAAATTAAAGTTGATCTCATAGGTCTAGGATGTAAAAGTAATTTCCAATTGCTAAAGACTGAATTAAAAAACTATGGAGAAAAACTTCAAAGTTTCAAGAAACTGCTAAACTCTGTCATAACAAAGAAGGTTGTTATATGCTGTGAGCCTGGAGGTGCCAGGATACACATGAATATCTCCTATACTGTACCTATCTGACTACCACCTCCATGTGACTTTTTGTATTAAAAATGTTTCAAATTAAAAAAACAAATAGCAATAGCACGTAGACTTAACTAACATTTCACAGAGCTTTCCAGCCCTAAGTGGTTTTACAGAGTCAGCCTATTGCCCCCAACAATCTGGGTCCTCATTTTACCGATCTCAGAAGGATGGAAGGCTGAATCAACCTTGAACTGGTGAGATTTGAATTGCCCAACTGCAGCCAGCAGTCAGCAGAAGTAGCTTGCAGTACTGTATTCTAACTACTGTGCCACCACAAAACAAGAACCAAAAGCTGTTATCTTGGAAGAAATAAGCTCCAATTTTCCATATCTTCATTTCTAAATTAATTTAATTTTAATTAATTAAAAGATGGAGAAAGGAGACTATCGATGAAGGAATAACATTAAAGGAAGATGTGGCTAAAGGATCTGACCTCCCTTATGCTATTTGAAGGAGCCTGAATAGGTTGAGAGTTGGGAGTGCCTTAATGTAAAACCAATAAGCTCAAGTGGAGGCGGATAACACCATGCTTATGTAATACGGAGAGACACAGAGCCTGGCCCATCTGCTGGTGCATTTGATCTAGACATGGAAGATGATGAATTTCTAAAGAATCCTGAACCTTGGTTAGAAACTACAAATGACTGAGGATGTAAGTGCTCTGAACGAAAGCATGTCAATCTATCAGATAAAGGTAAGCAAAGAAACAAAGAGGCTCAAGGCGGTTGCAGACCCCATATTTTAGTAAACCAGTGCTTTAGAACTGTGTTACATCTCCCACTGGAGCCATTTCATGAATGGGCAAGCCTCTTCTCTCATCAGCCCTTTTATAACATGCCCTTATAACGCTACAAATTATGTTCATTAGCCTAGAAAAAGTGGGGACCTCTAGCTAAGGTCGACGCTAAGATGCTTCACAGTCTTCAGTTTAGTTCAAATAGAAATAAGTGAAGCAATGCTATGTGCAAGCAAGGATGGGTACTTCCAGTGCTTTCTAGGACACTCTGCCATGCAACCTTAAAGTAAAGATTTTTAATCAGACACAAATAGCATTTCATGAAATAGTTATAAATCATACCATTCTTCTCTTCTCGGTTTTGGCTGGGCGGCGCTTCTTCTGTCTAGGTGCAGTGTCGTTTTCCTCATCATCAGTATCACCATCTCCTTTTTGAGGTCTTGAGAAAAACACATACCCAAATAATCAACAAAGTTCTATAAACACCATGTCCTAATCAGATCTCTACAAAGAAAAAGAAAAAACCCTACCGATTCTTTACTTTTTCTCACGTAAACGTTCTCCATAAATAGTTCCAGAACTTTACATTAAAATTACTTAACAATATGGACAAACGTAATGAGTATCTGTTGTGGTTCGCCGGCAGCAGGTGCAGACGGCTGAGGTTTCTTGACAGCGAGGACTCAGACGAGAGGTCTGCGTGTGATGCAGGGATGGGGCCAGGACTATCAGAGAGTGGGGTGCAGCCTTCGGAGGTTGTGGAGTCTGGCAGCAGTGATGAAGAGGATCCCGGGGAGCTTGTGCTCAGTGTGTACAGGGCTGCTCCAAGGAAAGAGCAGCTGAAGCAGCATGGGCGACTCGGGAGTAAGGCTGGAAGGTGATGGCCCCTCCCACAAGGGGTAAAAGCCAGCCTTTGGGGTTGGCTTCTTTGCAGGAAGCAAAGAAGTTATTTCTACTCAGAGCCCTCGTTGAAGCCCTGCTTACTCTGATTTGGTTTTTTTTAAAAAAATTTGAGTTTGGATATTTATCTGCAATTAGTCTTTTGTTCTTGGCAGCCTTTCGCAACCTTGAAAGGGCTTGCTCTTATCTGGGACAATTAGTTTTGAATGACTCTTGGCTGTGAATGAACAGAATTCACAGTGCCGCATTTAAAAAGGTTTGCTTTTATACATACTTTGTGTTTGTTTGATTTGAACAAGGCTTGGGTCAGAAAAGTATCGTATGATTGGTGTCATTTTTTTTAAAAAAGCTCATTGCAGATCTAATTCTTGAAATGATTTCAAATGATTTTTTAAACATAAAACAGCAATTAAAAACTTGTGTTTACACATTTACAATAGCAAAAAAAAAAAAAAAAGACACTTGTAAACACCAGTTCATAATAATGCCAGAAACTGCAGTTCACATGCCATGGCTAGGCTCTGAATGTTTCTATGAGTACACATCAAGGCTTCTTTGGTTCCCCACTATCAAAAACTGCTCTTTTCTGAGTTTAAGCAGCGTAGAATCAGGCAGCAAGGCAGGTTAGAGCAGTAATGGAAAAAAAGGAATCAAACTTCCCAATGTGAATGATCAAATTCACTGTGTACACCCTCATTTCCCTCCAAAGGATTTCACCTTCGTCGCTTCTTCTTTTTCTTCTCTCCATCCTCTTCTTCGCCATCTTGTTCACTGCCACTGCCCTTCCTCCTCTTTTTCTTTCTGGATACTGGAAGGTCTTCGTCACTGTCATCATTGACAAACTCATCAAATTCTCCAGTTTTTCTGGAACGCTGTCACAAAAATCATAAGCCACAATGCATTGCTATTTTTAAATGAAAATCCTCTGCTTAATCAAGCATTTTGGAAGTGAGTTATCCTCTTAGTTTAAAAGAATACAGATTTAGAAAAGATCACACTTAATTTATGGGTTTTTTTAATCCTTCCTTTCAGAATTGTTATTTTTAGGATTCACATTATGCAAACACAGATTAACATAAATCACAAACTGGGGGAAAAAGAGTAGAATAATCCAATTGGTCTTTAATCTTCTAACACTACTTTTGCTAACTAATACTAACATCCGTCAGTCATTTGAGCACCTCAAATTTAAAGTGATGGAAAAACAAAATGAAAAATATAAAATACTAGAATGTTAAAATTAAATATAGAGAACTTTAAAAAGTCGACTTTAAAAAAAGATGGAGGAAAGTATTGCTGCTTTTCTTAGAAATGTTGTAAAAACTTATTTTAAGAGATTCTCAAAAAAGATCAAGAGGCATAGAATACAACCAATCTGGTAAATTATGTAGTAATCAAATGGAATAAAGCACAGGATAATTAGATGAAGAGACTAATAATTTCATATAGAACGCTATCAGAAAATACGTGAGCATCTGAACATGTAGAGAATATATAAATATAGGAAATCAAATGATAGATCACACAACACTGAATTATACTAATGCAAAATAAAAAATGAAATGTTTTGAGCAATTATTATAAAAGTGAAAATACAAATCTTCAGCTTACTTTCTCCTATTATCTCAGAGATCTGATGTTAATGCTCATTTTGATTACCATTTTAATAGCAATTAAAGGAAATGATATGAATGGAAAAAACTAGTAAACATTCACACAGATGGGAGTTAAGGAATTAGGTTTTCTTAACATGTTTATCAAGGAGGCAAGGAACATGATGTATCATTCTGAGAGAGCAGAAAAGACACATTGTATTATTTGGATCAGTAGATGTTTGGAGAGGTAGTTGACAAAACTCATAAATAAATGAGAAAGGCCTAAAGAAGAGTCTTGATTTGACAATAATATGCCTGATTATTGTCAGAGGGACACAAGGAAGATAATCAGCATGAGACATAGGATAAAGATTTAGGATCAGCCAAGATCCCAGAGAAGTTGGATGAATCAGAAGAAGACATGATGGCAGTCTGAAAATTCTGCATATAAAAATATTTGATTTTAGGGTAAGAAATCAGAAGAGTTCAACCATCAATTAGCTATATCACAAGTGCATCTTCTCATAGCTCTCTGTAACTCTCTGTGTTTGTTGGGTTTTCTGATTGGATCTGATTACAGCCTCACCTTTCGGTAAAGATCTTCTAACATAATTATAAACAGACAAAGTTAGATAAAGTTAAGAGAGGATTCAGTCATGGACTATATTAGACAACTTTACTTCACAGGAGGCTGCTTTTTTGTTTGAAACCAAGATAAAATATAAAGGGTTTAACTTATTTCATAACATAAACCAGAAAGCAGAATTATCTAATGTTCAAGGGCCTAAGGGTGAAAATGAGAGGAGTGCAACTGAAAACAGATTTCTCACAAAATCTATTAGATTTTCATTAAAATGGATAAGAAGGACTAAAGGAGGATTCCTGGATCCTAGAAATAACTGTAGAATAAAATTCTAAAGCAGAGAAAAGGCCAAGAGGGGGAAATTTTGTAAAAAAACAAGAAAAAGTTGAACAAGGTATACAAGCAAGCAGTATAATATTACACGGAAAGAGAAAATCTAGTTCTTAAGTAGAGCCAGAACTTGCTAATATCATGAAAAGGGACCAAGAAAACCATAAAAGTTAATAGAGAACAATGAAAACAGACAATGAAAAGTTTGCTGAATGACAGACAGAATACCTGAAAACCTTTCAAATGATGCAATGGAAATAAAAATAGAGATAATCAATGACAAACAACAACTTTGTAGGTCATTAAACAGAGGTGTAGAAGAAGCAAAGAGCCAAAATAGACAAGATTGTTACTTTCTATTTAAAAAAAAAACTGCCTCTTTTTGCACTTAAAAAAATAAGGCTTAAAAAGAAATGTCTATGTATCAAAAACAATACAAAACTAACTGTCTCTTATACCAATTCAATCTGATTAAATTCAGCATTTGCTGTCTGTAGCTTTATATACTACTAAACTCATGACCCATTGGCTCATTCTTTCCATATATAATATAAGCTGGCACTGTTTCCTCTTCCCTCACAACCCTCAACAGAGTCCTGGTGAAGCTCCTTTCTCCTTGGCTGACCTGTGGAACTGCCTGCCACTCTGCTGGGAACAAGAGGAATAAAGGGAACTATGGATGAGGAAAACTGCACCCCTACTCCCTTTCCTGGTGTGTCCCCAAAGACACTCCCTCCAGGGAAAAAAAGAGCTTACGCATTGACCATCAGCACCTTCACTTGGCAGCAGGCATCCAAATTACTCTTGGAGCATGGTGGCTCATATGTTTAGGATGCTGGGTTTGGAGGTTAGCAAGCCCATGTTCGAGACCCAAGTCTTGCTGCATGGCGGGGGTGAGCTCCCATCACTCACTCCAGCTCCTTGATGGGGACGTGAAAGCCCCCACGGCTATCCTCTGGGCAACGGTGATGTCATTGGCTAATCCTTTCAACCCAGAAATGCCTTAAACTGTGCCTCCAATACAAACAGGACAAGACGGGATCTGAACCTTGTCCTTCCATCACCATCCACCACTCTTAAAAGAGATTTCAGTTTTTGCCTTTGGTTCCAAACCAGCCAATTTCCAGTCAGCAGTCAGGCCTTGCCATCAGCCAATTGGGTGTAGGGACCAGAGAGAGACAGGAAAGACATGGGAATATGCCCCTCCCATCTTCCTTTGTACACACAACCTACAGGCTTCAGGGGAGACTAGCTGGAAATCACAATCATGTGACCGTGGCTAACTCTGTATTTCAGCAGCTACAACTTTGTGAATACAACTGGTATGCAGATCTTTAAACTTTCCATTACACAGGAGCAATGGGTCCCAGACTTTAATGCATTCTTTAAGTTTGCCCTGTTGAGGTACTTAATGGAAAAATTGTTGTGCTGTGATGAACCATTTCAATCAATTGTGAAAGTTATAAACAGACAAGAGTTTTAGTAATACATGGCCATATAACAATCATTTTTAAAAACTCTATTTTTATTTTTATTTACCCGGCCAGCTCCACTACCACGCTTTTTCTCTTTTGAGCCTTCAACTTCTCCTGTGAACATGAGAATATTCTTGGTCTTCTCCACATATTGTGCTCTCTGTTCCAAAAGTTTCTTCTGCTCTTCTATTTCCCTGAGACGTTTTTCTTCCTGGAAAAGTGTCAGCAAGGAAACCAGTTATAGTTCTATGCAAAGTATCACTCTAATATTTTGGTTTTTTTTTAAAAAAAAACAAACCAAAAGTATCGAAGACTTATTTGTGACCACAATGACATGGGGTCTGCCTTTAAACAGCATGCTCTGAAACAATAGTACGAAGAGAAACTCAGTGCATGTAGCAATACTGTAAATAGACAAGTGGAAATAAGCAAGAGGTTTTTAGATTACAGACTGGAGGCATCTAGATTTTCATTCCCCCCCTTCTCCATCATTTGCAGCCTAAAGGTAAACCACCTTCCAAATTTATTTTATCCATTTATATCTTCAGAGCTGATATCCCTCTATTTATTCATCGTACATCTACATTGCATTTTGTTGTAGCATCACAGCTCCTAGCTCAGCAGGGAAAGTGATGCCAGCTCTGTTTTAGCGGTATAAGGAATAAAGGACCTGTTCTTTGAGTAACTTCTGACGCAGCAGTTCTTTTTCTTGCTCTTGTTTTGCTCGCAGCTCCCGCTCTTCTTCATCCTGCTTGCGAGCCCGAGCTACGTGATACTGAGCTTGGCTCAGCAGATCCGAACACTGCCTACAAGTTGGGGTTAAATTTGCAGACAAAAGCAGAAATAACGATGAAAAACACATTTCATGTCATTGGCCAAATCAAAGCTTTTCAAGAACGGACTCGTGAATGCTAGTAGTTAGCAACTAAACTGTAGTAAATATGTCTATTGTAAAGAAAAACCGATCAACGCAGCTGGGAATTCACTGTTAAATTTCCTAGAGGATTTTTATTTCTAACAATCACATCCCTTTTTAAAGCAGTAGCTTGGCACCTCAAATTGTTCTGCCCTAGAAAAGATCAATTATTTATCCAACTAATTGGGTTACACTGCCTTGAATCCCAACACATGACAAATATCTGATGTTCAGGGCTTTTGTGTATTTAGCTTCCTCATACGAACCCTTTATATTTAGATTAAGGATTTCGGAAATGCTCTTAAAATCCCAATAAAACTAAGTGTGAGTTTCACTTTCATGGACAACCTGCCTGCCAACACTTGTTTCAAACTACTTTTTGTCTGACACCTACTTAATTAGGAAGTTAAAAAAAAGATAAATCTTTTTTAAGAGTCCAATCCAGAAGACAAAGGCAGCTTTCTTCATTAAAGAGAATCCTTAGAGAAATATAGCTTACAGAACGTCAAGGATACACTGTAGAATTATTTCAAAAGAGGTGTATGATAATATTTGGAAAATTCTGCTAGAACTAATAAGAAAAAGAAATACAAAAAAAACATTGGAATAATCCACAGAAAATACTACTTCCCCAAGAGTAGTCATTAAAATCTGCCACATATGGCTAGTCAACATTATTTCCTAATTAGGTTGACTCTCCTTTCCTTATGGGTTTCAGCTAAAGATGTACATAGCTAACCTTAAAAGTCTGCACTGAAAACTGAAACCTGCAATTCAAATACTTTGCTTATTTCATAAGGAACTGATTCTTGAAAGCTCTGGTTACAATTTTTTTTTTTACCTGGCTTCGGTTGCAGCAAGCGCCAAATCAAATCTCATTTTATCTCCCACTTTACTCAAGTAACTGAAGTATCTGAATGAGAAACAGAAAATTAGATTATTTTGGAAGAATTTTAAAATATCCCTGTCTTTTTCCCCCATGTATATATTTCTTATAAAGTGGTACATATTTATCACAAACTAGATGATGTCAAAATTAAGGTGTTGCTTTTTAATTTCACACACCATTCTATATCTTTAGCTCCCCATCAAATCACTCTTTCAGTTCCTAGAAAAGAAAGTACTCTTAAGTATTTGAATTGCCAATAACTTCTCATAAAAATCAACCCAACAATTTCTATTTCTTCAATGAGATTGTATTTGCATCTTTTAAAAGTGAAACCGAATCATCTTGCAGATGGCTCAAGACAGGTTTGGGAGAATCTCAGAACCCGATGAACTGATGGTTCTAGGAATATCTCATACAAAAGAAACTCCTGTGACAAAAGAAAGTTCTTGGCAGAGGCCATCATTCGAAAATATAAGCCAATGTATTATAACAATAATAATAAACAATAGCCTGCCTCAGTACGTTAAGTTAGAAAAAGATTTAATTTGAAGAACAAGCATGCTGTTCAAAAGCACTCTTTTGAATGGGACACATTCTGTTTCTGCTGGAATGGACACCCCTCCCCACCCAGCCCTATTCTGTATATTAAAACAGGCAGTAATGCTTGCAGGCTGGAACGCTAGGTCCAGTTCTGAAGCTTTCATCTTCTGGCTCTCTGCATTTTTAGACTCTGCTGAAAATGTTTGTATGTACTACAGACAGTCCTCGACTTACAACAGTTTTTTAATGACTATTCAAAGTTACAAAGGCATTGAAAAAGAGTGACTTATGACCATGTTTCACAGTTTTCACAGCCTTTATAGCATCCCCATGATCACGTGATCAAAATCCAGGTGCTTGGCAATTGGTTCAAACTTATGACCGTGGCTGTGCCCCAAGGTCATGTGATCCCCCTTTGCGACCTTCTGACAAGCAAAGTCAAGGGGAAAGCCAGATTCACTTAACAACTGGGTTACTAACTTGTCAACTGCAGTGATTCACTCAACAACTGAGACAAGAAAGGTCACAAAAGGGGGCAAAATGCACTTAACACATATCTCAACAACACAACATTAAATGGTGGGAACAATTGTGGTCGTAAATCAAGGACTACCCATGCGACTCATCTCTCCTCAACCTGCATTTCTATCCGCCAACTAATTTTCGAGGACCACAGCAATACGGTCAGTCCTCAACTTACAACTGTCCGTTTAACAACAGTTTGAAGTTACAACAGCCTTGGAAAAAGGGTCTTACAATCTATCCTTAAAGTTACGCCTGTGGCATTGACCCTTTCAGTCATATGATCACACTTTGGATGCTTGGCAACTAGCTCTCATTTACGATGGCTGCGGCATCTTATGCAATCACAATCTGCAAAATTCTTTCGCTTCTGAGAAGCAATGTCAATTCGGGAAGCTGGATTCACTTAATCACCGCGCAATCCACTTAATAACAATGTGACTGCCTTAAGGACAATGGTAAAAGAATGGCAGTCAAATTGGGTGATGATTCTACTTCCTCTCTCCACACTGACTTACAACAGAAATGCCAATTACGCTCATCAGTCAAGGATTACTTGTAGAACAAAACCGTTCAAGCAGCAAGGCTATCTGCCTTCCCTTTCCATCCCTATAGGTTTTATTTAGCCCATTCACTTTCTAGAGGGAGGGCAACGCTAGGGACTTCACACATCCATGGCCAGAAACAAACTCTAAAAGCTATGAGACAGAGCTTATGAAATATATTATTATTCTATAATAAAGTTAACAGCTTGAATCTTGCCTCTTAGATCAGGGGTCCCCAACCCCCGGTTTGTGGAATGACATGAAGCCCCATCCATGAGATGCAGGCAGCATGCAAAACCATGTCCTCTCTGGTCCAGAGAAAAACCTCTCTCCACGGGACTGGTCCCTGGTGCCCAAAGGATTGGGGGGGGGGGGGGCGCACTGCTCCAGATGCATTACAAAATTATACAAAATAATTATAGTCTGTTAAGCTAGGCTAGAATTTGGTTTTAATCTCCATCACCACCCTACCATACTCTAATGCAGTGCATATTCTACGGGGGTGGGGGGTGTTCTTAAATAAAGATTATATCTCCTTACCTGTGAGCTAACTCCAGTTCTTTCACAGCATTTAGTACTTCCTTCAGGTTGCTTTTTTCATCTTTCAGGACAGAGGTAGCTAGCCTTTGCAGCACAAGAGCCACGTTGAACATAAGGACTGTATCGCTGGGGGCTACATGTCTTGCCTGAGAATTCAAATGTAATTTAAAATTAAACCAGTATGAACCAACCAGAAAAGAGAAACTGTTGTTACAACATACCTAGGAAGCCAGTCAGGCTCTCTCAGTAATGGCCTCCCACAAGTTGGAGAAGAGGAAACTTCCCTGGACAGCCTATGGTGTATGATTATTCATCTCCTTTTTTATCTTGTACAGTATCCATAATTTGAGATTTTGGTTTGTGGTGACTCTCTATATAGCAGGGGTTCCTAAACTTTTTGCCATCACACCTCCCTTTAGCCCAATCTTAATGTACACGCTTTCCCTAAAAATATCCAAATACAAAATGAACAGTTAAAACAATACAATGAAACTTTGACAAAGGTAGATTTATTTTAAAAATGCAACTAAAAAAGGTTTTTCACACCTCCCTGGTCTCTGCGCCTTCCTAAGGGAGGCATACCCTCATAGTTTGGGAACCCCTGCTCTATATTGTATCCGGGTGATATTTGGGACTAAGTATTGTTTCTTCCTATAGAAGTTTTATTCTACTTAGACTACTTTTTTACAACATGGCTGTTTTATTGTATTTTATGCTATTGCAATAACTGTGACTCTATATGATTCTAGGGTATATAACCATCAATAATAACAATTATTATTGATAATTGTTTCGTTAAATATTAGAAACTTTTCCTACCTTTAGCAATGTTTGTTTGCATTCTTGTAATTTACCACATTTGAAGAGAGCTCGGGCCAAATACAGCAATACTTCGGTGTTCTGATGTTTATAGAATTTTCGGAGACAATTCTCATACTAGGGTGGGGAAAAGAATAAATGTTTGAAGAATTAGTTTAAATTGCCAACTTTTATAGTGTTCCAGATAAAACTGCACTGCAGTCAGAATGCAATAGTGAACATAGCCTTATAAATGAGTTTGCAAATATCTCCTAGTAACTTCCAAAAACCTACTACAACAGCCTGCATTTCTACACAGGTTGAAGAAGAGAGCAAAGCTCCAGCTTTATACCCAACACAGCAGCAGAACAAAAGCTTAGAACAGCAGCTTAAAAAATACTCTCCACTAAGATGGCTGGAAAGAAAGAAATTAAGTTTCCTTTTCCATGCAGTCAGCTTAAAAGCCAAACACATGTATATACATTTCTACGATACATGATTATACAAATTCTATCACACACAACGTATCAAAAATTTGCCAACATGTTACTTGTAACTTCCTGATTTGTTTTTCATCAGTTTTCAGATCCATGGGAAAAAAGACGTTTTTAACACTTTCAATAACTGCAGTCTTAAAATAAATTCATTTGGCTATTTAGTAGTCTTGGCTTTCTTCTGGGCATTAACTATTGATTAATAGACCACTCAGTCTGCCAATTATATGTCTCAATTATAGCAATTTATCTCCAATTCTTTATTGTAATGGGAACCTATGCCATTTGGTATATGCATTGCTGAAAAGAGCCCGTGCCCAGATTGCCTACAAAGAGAAAACCAATACCACTGATTCAGTTCTGTGAATATATCCATTGCACAGCACAATTTAAATGCAATTAAAAAAAGAAAGAAATGCAGAAGGTACTGAAAACATTCATGGAATGATCCAATTTAGCCCAACAAGATAGGATCATGCCAACAAAACTAAAAATTCTCACAGAAAAGACTCAGCTTGAAATTCATACTTCAGTGTTTATAAGGAACTTGTCCCAAAGTCAAGATATTTATTAAGGATTACCATCTGCACAGCACTGATGTACTGCTTCTGCTCCACGTAAATGTGTGCGAGATTAAGCCACACATCGCTGATATCCGCGGTTGCCTCTCTCACTTGGGCAAAAACATCACGAGCCTCACGGAAATATCCTTTGTGTGCCAGCACAGCTCCTAAAAAGGAAAATCCAATTTCCAGAACCATGCAAAGTCACTGCAAAATTGCAATGTAAAAAAGAAAAGTCAAGACAAGAAATCTTAGTACCTATGCCGTTAGCAGCATACAAATTCTTGGGGTCATTCCTGAGGACCTGTTTGTAGATGGCTAGGGCACGATCTTGATGACGTTTTTCCTGCAAAAGGGAGACGGGAAGTGAATGCAGGTAATCCTTGACTTACAACCATTTGTTCAACTGATCTTTCAAAGTTACGCTTACAACTGTCACAGTATCCCAGTTATGCGATCAAAATTTGGACACTTGACAATTGCCATGTATTTACAACACTGGCAGCATCCCTGGGTCATGTGATCACCATTTCTGATCTTCCTAGCCAGCTTCCAACAAGCAAAGTCAATGGGGGAAGCTGGATTTGCTCAATGTCCACACAATTCACTTAACGATGCCACTGATTTGCTTAACAACGATGGCAAAAAAGGTTGTAAAATTGTGCAGATCTCACGTAAATGCTTTGCTTAGCAATGGAAATTCTGGCCTCCATTGTGGTCATAAGTTGTGGACTAGTTGTATTTACAATATTTATTAAAATGTTTGAATAACTTGTCTGGATACTCAAGAAATATTAAAATATATTAAAACACATTAACAAAATATATTAAATATATTAAAACAAATGTTAAAATACATGAAATGCATCACACAATCAATATAAACACTAATGTAAAATCCTTGGCAAAGAGACAAAAGAACTGTCTATCCTCTCATTTCTTTTAAAGTTTTGTAAAAGTCTTACTCTCTGTTGCTGTTCAAGTGTATCATAAAGTCATAGTATATAAAGGACTGATTAATAAGATCAACTTGTAATTTTATATTAGGTAAGACAATTTTCATTTCTGCACAGAAACTTCCTGTCTCCTATTTAGGAAGACTGTGTGTGTGTGTGTGTGTGTGTGTGTGTGTGTGTGTGTGTAAAATCCATTATCCAGCAGTTTGTGGATTTGAAAATCCGGATTAGACAGAAAGCAATGCTCATCCATTGAAGCAGCTGCAGAAAAGACAGTGTAAAGATGCAGAGTATTTACCTTCTCTCTGTCTCTGGTGGGTTGGTGCAGAGTCTGCAACCATACATTGCCCAAAGCCAACATAGAGTAAGTGTCATTCTGTGTTGATGGTTGTTTTAATATTCGTTCAAATTTCTTCTGTCCTGGACCCCATTCTTGTTTGGCCAAGTGAAGATTGCCAATCAGGGACCAAGCATCAGGATGGTCCTGAAATAATATTCCAATACACTAAAAATCAGCTTAACTATAGTAAGAAATACTTCTAGTTCAAAAAGATCCACCTCTCCCCAGCTCCAAAAGGCATCCCATAAAACGTTTAAGAATTTCAGCGAACTTTGCTAAAATCCAAACTTTGGAAAAAGGGGAGAAAATTCCACAATAGATGCTGTCTGGGAGACATTCCAACTACTCCCAAAGGTGCTTTTTTAGGGGGCAACTGGACTTTGTTTTTTCTTTTGAAGACATTCCACTTCTCATCTAGAAAGTTTTTTCAGCTTCGACAGGATAGTGGGGAACCGAAGAATTTATATTTCTTGCAGACAGCTGGTAATCTGCATCCTTTTAGAGGGTAGTTGAAGCACTTGGGAGGTTTATCTGTGTCCTCAGGGTCTCCTGTGTATTGCTTCTGGTTCCTGTAATCTACAATTTTTCTCTGAAAATCCATTTTTACTCCCACACCATTCAAAGAGTATTCATCTCACCTTTGGAACAACCATGACCTGGATTACTAAGAATCTCTACAGACTATAATTCCAACTACTCATTAAAAATACACTATGAAAATTTAAAACCCAGCAATGAAATAATGTATATTTATTAAATTATATGACCGTTTTTTTAAAAAAAAAAAGTTAACAATGATTTGTTAACTGGCCACAGAAAATCTTTAGAATTCATGGCCTTAGCTATAAAATTGCTTTCTAAATGATGGCAAATTCTTACTGACCTGATTGATTTGAAGTGCTTCTTTAAACCAGTCAGAAGCTTCATAAAAGTTTCCTTTATCTCTAGCCATAGCTCCTAAACGCAGGTAGCCTAAAGAAAGGGGAACAGATTTTAATGATCGAAGACTCATTTCCAGAACACAGTATCCTGTTTCATAAGTGCTTTGAATGATGCATGTTTGCTCTTCAAGACTTTTGTGATATTACTACTGCATCCGATCGGGACAAAGGCAGAACAGTTTAATTATAGTGCCAACCATCAGCTGTACTACAGGTTAGAAAGGATCACACAATGATGCTAGCCATTTAGTTGTCAAGTTAAAAGGAACAATAGAATGCCTATTTACACCAGCAAATCTTCCTAATGCTACTTGATTCAACACAAGATGCATCAGAAGGTCACAGAAATGTATTCTAATATGAGTCTATAAAGATGTCAAACAACGCTATCTTCACATTTTCCTGTTAGGTTTATCTTTTAAATCAACTGCACATGCTTTGCATATTTGGATTTAAAGAGGAAAAATTGTGGCTTATAATGGCAGTGTTTCACTGGGTATGGCAGCATATGTGTTTATTTTCCTGATTTTCTAAATTTTATTAATCTTATTTTCAAGTCTTGCTAAGATTATGATCTAAGCCTGTTCCTCTCCATCCAAATCCATAAGTTTCCAGGCCCCACAAAAGAACTTTTCAGCATCACACGGTCAGCTAAAAGTTGAGTATACAATTGGATATTATCAACATATTGATGATACATGATACCATGCCATTCGGTAAGCTTATTCAATGGCTTCATGTAGCTGATAAATAGGAATAGTGAGACCATAAAGACCTTGCAAGCAAGGATATTGGGTTTGATACTTTACCCCTTATCAACACCAACTCAAACTGATCATGGAGAAGAACCACCACCACCACCCTCTTTCCCTAGCTCCTGGAGCCATTACAGAAGGTACCATGATTGCTGGTATTAAACCTCACAGATCATGCAGAGCCATCATAGCTGCACCATATCCATTCCAGCTTCACCAGAGGTCATTCGTAAGTGCACTCACTGCCATCTCACCACTATGCCCAGAACCAAAACTAGTCTGAAATTGTTTATTCCAGGAACAGCTGGCACTATACCCCCAATCACGTTCTCCACAATTGTTCCTAAAAGAGACACTGGACAGGAATTATTCAACATGGACCAGCAGTGGCTTTGTAACATACCATTTCCTTCAAGGCAGTGAGATCCTACCCAATGATATACGAATCAAAGAGAAAATATGGCATAAAATACTTCTAATAGCAACTCAATGCACAGATCTGTGATATCATAGTTTTCAACAGTTTGAAAATATACACATGCAACTATTTTCAATTTAAGGATTGCAACAAGGTTTCTTACAATCAACATAATTTGGATGTTCCCTTAGGATGTTTTTGTACAGTTTCTCTGCTTCATGAAATTCACACATTGCTTCATATAATCTGGCTAAGTTGTATGATGTTGTCACTGAAATTGCATTGTAGTAATGTTCATCGTGTTCTGCTTCTGCTTTAGCTCTATCCAGGGATGCCAAAAAATATTTCTAAATGCAAGTATAAGAAGGTTAAAAAGTGTATATTTATACATGGGTGCACATACATGATACATACGCGCTTACACGCTCAGCCAAGTTATAAATATATTGCATACAAATAGTAACAGTGGTTGGGAAGTTGAGATTCATACCTTTGCTTCTCCTAAGTTTCCAAGTCTGAAGTGAAGAGCACCCACATTATTTAAAATTTCTGGGGGAACATCAGCTTGTACTTTTTCCTGAAGTATTCGTGTCGCTGTGCCATAGGCTGAAAGAGCACCCTATACATTTAGAGACAGTGGAAGGATTTAGTGTAACATGTAATTGTTCAGCATGAAACAAGTCTACTTTACCCACCTTTTATATACCTGTATATCTGTCTGCTCAAGGATTTGTGCTAGCTCAATCCAAGCTTCCACATCATCTGGATACTGTTCTGTCACCTTCTTTAAATGACCCTATTTAAAAAAGCAACTTGTTACTTTATATAATTTGATTTAGAATTTCCCTGAAAAGTGGCACGCAGTAAATAGTTTTCTGAGGCTGTTGTAACCTTTAACGGTTGTTAAATGAATAGTCCTAAATTAAGGACTGTATGCAGTGTCTAAAATTCAGCATTCCACAAATGATCACTTTTACATGTAGCACAGCATTTGCTGTTTCTAAGACAAATGTTCCCTTTTTTAAAACAAGTTCCAATACATATAAATTTAACCATGACAGGAAAATCCCTCCTAATATATATCAGGTCTATAGGCAATACAAATTAAATATCAATTGTACTTGGATTTCTCAAAAATAACTGACACGGAGTTTGAGATTTCACCTTCAATTAAAAGTGATGAATTATAATTTTGCTCTTATCTCTTGAGGCTTGCTGTACCTTTGCAATATCTCGTTTGTCTTGATCTTCTGAAGCAGCGTAGAGAGATCCAAGAATTTTCATGGTCTCATAATTGTTAGGGTAGGCTTTCAAAACTTTTTCAAAGCATTGTGATGCATTTTCTTTGTCTCCTCGGTAAATGTACATTTGACCCAGTCCAAAAAATGGCAGTACAAAAGATGAAGAGGCAAACTGTGTGGCTTGGTAATAATATTGGAAAGCTTGATCATAATCTTCCTAATAAAAAGAAGGACATAAGGAAGAAAGGCATTAAAACTTGGAAAAATCTTAGGAAAATAAGATTGCAAAGCAGAAAGAGAGTTATGTAAAGCATAATATACCTGAACGTGAAAAGACCTGGCCAGCTGGTAGCAACTCTCTGCCTGCATTGCTTCTACTTCTGTATTGTGAAAAGCATGAAGTGCCAAATGTTGGACCTTACCATAATCCTGTATAAAGAAAATAAGATTATCATAATATTTTATAGTATTTTTTTAAAATTTTATTGGTTTTTAAAAATAAACATAAACAAACAAAACATAAAAACATCAAGCTGTCCTCCATAGGTATACATACAGTGTGCCGGTTGGTTTACAAATTGTTTTGTGCTTCCGTTTCGTAGTCTTCAATTACAATTACATTGCATATAATCTCATATTGTCAATCAAAAATACCTTAGTATCATTATTAATCAATCATTTGACTATACTTTTATTCATTCATGTTTTACAAGATAATCATGATTTACTTAGTTTATTTTATAACATTAATTATTAATTATTATTTTATAATATTATCTTCCCAAATCTATCCTAAAATCATTTTGTAGATATAATAAGTACATCTTTATATATTCATTATTTTCTAAAAGTCTACATATTTCATTACTATATTTTATTGTCTAACCATTGATAAAAAAGATCCCAAATTTTATAAAATTATTTATCCTCTCGTTCTCTAATTTCAGATGTCAATCTATTCATTTCGGCACATTCCAATATTTTCTTAATGATTTCCTCCTGTGATGGTGTTTTCTCATTTTTCCAGTTTTTAGCAAATACAATCCTAGCTGCTGTTAATACATTTACAATCAGGTATTTCAAGTCTTTACTATATATTTCAGGTAAAATTTCCAATAAAAATATCTCTGGTTTCAAGTCTATATGTTTTCTTGTCATTTTTTCCAACCACATGTGGATTTTAGTCCAGTATTTTTTAGCATCTGCACAAGTCCACCACATATGGTAATATGAGCCAGGTGTCTGATGACATTTCCAACATTTTTCAGATTTATTCTTGAACATTCTTACTATTCTTGTCGGGGGAAAATGCCACCTGTAAAACATCTTATACAAATTATCTTTATATGCTGTTGACATTGTCATTTTATAATTTTTAGACCACAATTTTTGCCATTTCTCTAAATCAATCCCATATCCAAAATTCTTCCCCCAAGCAATCATAGTTTCTTTAACTTCTTCTTCTAGTTTAATTTCTAATAAATATCCATATAATTTTTTAATCACCTTTTCATCAGTACCTGTCAAAATGTTATCTAAGTCAGTCAATTTATCATAGAAACCTTCTGTTTTAGAATCTTTATCATACCTTGAATTTATTTGTGCATATGAAAACCAATTCATCTTTATACCTTGTTCCTCTAGTTTTTGCATTGATTTAAGTTCACCCTTTTCATTCAATATTTCACCATATCTAACTGTTTGTTCCTTTTTGTATATTATAGGATACAAAAATGCTTCAATAGTCGATAACCAGACTGGAATTTTCAAATAACATTGTCTTTTAATCTTCTCCCAGTTTAACCACAGAGACTCCCGTATCCATTCCTTAACCCACATCAGATTTGTAGCTTGGTAGCACAACTCCCAATTAGGCAAACCAAATCCTCCTCTAATTCTAGCATCTTGCAAAAGTTTTAACTTTATTCTCGCTTTCTTACCTTGCCATACATATTTCAACAGAATTTTATTTAAATCTTCAAAGTAGTCTTTTCCAAGCCTAATTGGAATTGTTTGAAACAAATCTAAAATTCTGGGTAATATAGTCATCTTGATTGTTGAAATTCTCCCTATTAGTGACAGTTGTAAATTTTCCCATTTCGCCAGATCTAGCACTATCTGCTGTTTAAGTTTAATATAATTATTCTCTTTTAATGTGCTACATCTTGCTGTCAAATATATCCTCAAGTACTTAATCTTATTCATGACCTGAATTTTCAATAGGTCTGCCAGTTCTTCCTTTTGTCTTAATAGCATATTCTTTGTCAAAATCTTTGTCTTATCTTTATTTATTTTCAAACCAGCCACCTTTCCATATGTCTCTATCTTTTCTATCAATTTTGATGCTGCTTCTAAAGGGTCTTCTAAGATGAAAACCAGATCATCCACAAATGCTTGCAGCTTAAATTCTTCCTTTTGATTTTCATTCCCTTTATATTCTTTTCATCTCTAATATTTCTGTTTAGCACTTCCAAAGTTAACACAAACAACAAAGGTGATAGTGGGCACCCTTGTCTTGTTCCTTTTCTTATATTGATAAGAGTCTGTCAGTTCTCCCTCTATCATTACCTTTGCCGTTTGCTTATAGTATATAGCTTCTATTGCTTGAATAAATTTTCTAGCAAAACCCATCTGTTCCAACAGTAATAACATGAATCGCAAATTCACATTATCAAATGCCTTCTGTGCATCTAGAAATATCAGAGCCATTTGTTTTCAGGATATGCCTCATAGTATTCTAAGGTGTCCAAGATTACTCTCATATTGTATTTAATTTGTCTCTTTGGCAGAAATCCATTTTGATCAGGATGGATAAAATTATTTAAATATTTTTTAAGTCTTTCTGCCAATACTGAAACAAAGATTTTATAATCTGCATTTAGTAGAGAAATGGGTCTATAGTTCTTAATTTGTAATGGGTCGGCCTCCTCTTTTGGAATAAGTGTAATATAGGCTTCTGACCATGATTTAGGTATCTTCTTCTTTAACATAACTTTATTCATAACTTCTAGCAATGGAAGATTCAACGATTCTTGTAATGTTTTGTAAAATTCTGCTGGAAGTCCACCTGGGCCTTTCCATTATTTTGCTTCTTCTGAGTGCTTCAGTTAACTCCATCATCGTTATATTGCTTTCTAACATTGTTTCAGTCTCTTTAGGTATCTGAGGTAAATTACCATTCTGTAAGTACTGTTTAACTCTTTCCTCATCAATATTCTCTTGCATATATAATTTCCCATAGAAGTCTCGAATGATTTCCTTCTTCTCTTTACTACCATAACAAACTTGGCCTTAGTCATCTATTAATTGCAATATTTTCCTTGATTCTTTCTCCTTTCTGTTTGTATGCTCACCATCTACCTGGTTTGTTTGAGTCTTCAAAGTAGTTCTGTTTAGCACCTCTAATTTTCTGTGCTAATTCTTCTTTTTCTATTTGACCCATTTTATGTTTAATTATATCCATTTTTAGCTTGATGTCCTTTTTCTGTGGCATTTTCTGTAGCTCTTTTTCAAGTCTTTTATACTCATCCTCTAAGGCCTTAGAGGCTAGTCTTTTCATAGTATTCCTTTTCCTTGTATAGTCTATTATCAAGCCTCTAACATATGCCTTCATTGTATCCCATACATTCTGAATTGATGTATCTTCTTTTTTGTTTTCTCTAAGGAAAAAAGCCAATTCTTTCTCCATCCACTGTGTGAAGTCTTTTTCCTTTAAAATAGTATTATTAAACATCCATCTAGATCTTCTTTTTTGTCCTTTCCATTTAATTGTCATTGGATTGTGATCTGCCCAAGTACTTGTTTCAATATTTATTTCTTGAATGTTAGTTATTAATTCTGTTGACATCCATATTATATCTATTCTGGACCATGGTAAGTGTCTATTTGAATAGAAGGTGTATTGTTTAGGCTAGTTGATTCGGCAGGTGAGTTCTTACACACTCCTTAGTGGATTCCAACTTCCATGGCCACCGTCCTACCATAAAATTTTATAGTATTGTATATAGTATAATATAGTATAGTCTAGGGCAGGTGTGTCTAACCCATAGCCCATGGGCCACATATGGCCCTCGACAGCTAGTAATGCCACCCTACAAGATATAATAAAAATATAAAAAAATAAAGGAAGTTTGTTATTTATATACAATAATTATATATTTTATATGTGGTCTAAGACAATTCCTCTTCATTCAATGTGGCACAGGCAAGCCAAAAGGTTGGACACCCATGGTGTGAGATAGACCGAAATTCAAATTCTTAGAAATCTTAGATTGACCATTTGTAACAAGTGCAATAATTCATATTGCTGCCTATACAATCCTTAACCCTTAAAGTGTGACACATGTCCCAACTTGAAATCTGGGTTGGTGTAATGTACAAATTCAGCAAATGTTTGAAAGAGGATTCATGTGTATCTATCCCTCTCTCTCACACACAAACATTAATGAACTTTCTGAAGCCAGTCTGCAAATTTCAGTCATTGTGGAATATATACTTATAGCTTACATATTCCAGATGAATACCACAGAGACCAAAGAAACTTTTTTACGACCTTCATCATTTGCATTAGCATTTCCTCAGTTCCACAAGATATAAAAAGCAAACTGCAACTCTATTTCCCAATTGGAATGATGAAAAATAAGAATGATTTCAGGCAATTCTGAATTAGTCTGACTTTATTAAACAGCTTGAAAAATTTCAGCTAGCAGCATAATTCAAAACACAACCTTGTTGTCTTACCTTTTTAAAGAAGAAATGGTTTGCCAAGTGATTTAATACCATAGGGTTACTAGGATCAATTGTGTAAGCTCTAGAGAGTAACTGGACACCATTTTTGATGGAATCCGCCTGAAAGGAAATTGACAGTTTTTATTCATATTGAAATGCATGTTAACCTTCCTAGTTATTGTCTTTAAAAATTCAAGGGCTGTGTTTTTCAAAATTGATATCTTGATCACAACATTGATTGGCCATATGGGTGGCTGCCATTCCCAGCAGAAAAAATAGCTTATTTCATAAATATGCCATGAAGATGAATGAGGTTAGACTGATAATGGTATATCAATTAGGAAGAATAACAGCTTTTTCTATAAAAATAAGAAAACTCTACCATATAAGAAATTCGCCTTCAGAGCCAAAAATAGCAGTCCATGATTCAAATGGAAAACAGTTTATCTTTTCATGACTGTGATAGTAGACAAAGAAATGTGTAAGTCCAAGATTAAGTGCAGGGCAAATCATCTTCATCACATTAAATGTTGGTAGGTAATCCTTTTCTGGGATTGTTTTAAAAATAAATAAATTAGCATGAGTTTGGGACCCATTTCTTGCTTGAACTGTGTTTATAGTAGTAAATGTTAGCAAGTCTGATTGGATTATTTTATACCATCAAAACTCAGGTTACTGGACTCAGCTTTGGACAGATTTTATTTTATTTCAGGCCTTTGTAACAAAATGTGTGTAACTACATTCCTTCCTCTGTGTATCTGTGATGCTGAAAGAAAAGCCAATCTAAGCCACAATATCACAAGTTGGAGATGTTTTAAGCATATACTAAGCAACCTTATAAGACCACTAAACCTTTGCTGGTTCCATTATTTCTGTTTTAAATGACTTATTCAGCAATTGTTGCTTCAAGATCAAAGGAGCTAGGCATTTGCTAAAGAAAGAAGAATCAGATTTTTATTTCAAATTGTGAAATGGCCATGGTTGGCCTCCTGCCATCTAAAAAATTGACTATAGCACCAGAGTCTTGGGAAACTACAATTTTAGATTAAACTTACTCACCTCTTTGTTATTTAGTTCCAGAACAGCCAATCCAACTAAAGCCCCCACACATTTGGAATTGAGTTCCAGTGCCCTGCTGAACGCCAGGCGAGCTTTCTCTAGCTTGTTCAGCTTTACAAAGCAATGGCCCATGCCCAGACGAACCTCAGCTAGGAGACAAAAACAGTAAACACTTCCAATGTTTATTTATTTGAATTATATTTCTTTCAGGAACCATGGTGGTCTACGTAGCATTCCCACGTACAATTTTTCTCTATGAAAACTGTGAAGTAGGTTGTGATCTAAGAACAAAAGGCCCAAAGTCACTCAAAGGGTTGCGGGGACGGTTTGACATGGAGTCTTCCCAAAGTCAGCCCAACAACTTGGTCACATTATGCTGGCATTGTCATTTATATTCCCTTAACTTAAAGATTCTCTTATTATTTATGTATTAATGATTCTGAAGCACTTTGCACATAATAGTAGGCATATTTCCTCAAGAGTTCCTATGTTCATTTGCATAATGGCATTTTTGCATGTGAGGTTCTGTCAGGTGAACTCCAGAGAATACAAAACTCTTAATTAGATGAGCTACTCCAAAATTCTCATTTCAACTGCAAAGATTAGGTGATGCAGTACTTTTGGTTCAGTTTACAACATGCATTTCAAAATGCACAGAAACATGATAGATACAAACACATGTCTATAACACCCACAATTTTTTCCTCTGGATAGTACATCAATTTAGAAAAGGGCACAGCTGCTTTAAGGTGTTGCAGATGCTTCTATCCCCATATATTCCAGAGGCATCTTTGGTAGATCAAATTTAAAGTTCTGTATAATCCTAAAAAAATCCACAAAGTTTTTTAACTTCAGTTCTGTAATTTTCATGAGTGTTGGCTAATATCTGAACCAGATTCTGGTCTTGTTATGGTAATAATTTCTGCTATTCACCAAAAGCTGTTATTTTAGGAAGGCTGTAGATTCAGAAATATTTTTTAAAAAAGATAAAAATTTCATAGGTAGCCAATATATAGTGGTAGCTAGGCAAGGAGCAGAGAAACACAGATTCTATTCCTTTCTTAGTCAAGGACACCAGCTGAATACCTTGGGCCAGCCACTGACTCAACCCAAAACCTTGTAACATAAAATACTGACTTTTCATTAAAGAGTAGCAGCTGAAAATATGTAAATGCAATTAGATAAACAGGCACCATTTTAGTGCGAAGGTCATAGCATTCCATGCACCTTGGTGTAGTCATGACAGGCATATGACCACGGAAGTGTCTTTGGACAACCCTGGATCCCTTAGCTAGGAAATGGAGATGAGCACTATCCCTTAAGAGCCAGATACAACTGAGCAGGGGGAACCTTTACCTTTTTACTGTGCATGCTTTGCTTCTTACCTGGGCAGCCAGGATTAGTTCGCAGAGCCTTTTTATAATAGGCAAGGGCACCTCTGTAATCTTTCTTGTTAAACGAAATGCATGCTTTACCTATCAGAAAGAAGCAATAGAAGATGATAAATATCTCTAACATTTATGATAGACATCAGGAGTTCACAATTTACTAGCAGCAAATATATTAAAAGAATAATAATTATTCCCTGAAAAGATGGTATTAAAAAACCATAAGTCACGAATATGTCCCCATTTCCCTCTAATCCAATTGTCAACATCCTGCTTGTATTAGTTGTGCAGCAGATGCATTTCAAAATTGCTAATGCTCTATTTTTATTAATAGCACAAAGCCCAATAAAAGCCATAACTGGTTGTTGAACTCTTCCCTACCTTTATCATCTTAAAAAAGTCTCTGAGTTTCACAGTTTCTTTCAACAAAAGGCTGAATCAGGTCATGACCACTTTCTGCATGAGGTGCTGCCAAGCTCTAAGTACTGAAGAGGGAGGCAGTTGCTTCTTTTTATTATAGGAAAAACCATCCATTTCAGCTAACAATCTTACTAAGTAAGTTATTAAAAGTTATGATACCGGGCCCTTTTTATTTTCTACTTTAAATTCAAAGTCCAAAATGAGCAAGAAACTATCGTTTCTATCCCCCCAAAAAAGTAAGAGGACTTATTTTGGACTTCAGCAACCTGCAGCAGGAGAAGCTATATACCAAGGTGAAACACATTTTCTTTGTATATCCCAGAGATCACAATCTCTTAAGACTACTGAGCTCAACACTGTTAAAGTGAATTTATTTCTGTGAAGACAAAATACGACTGACTCACCAAGAAGGGCTGGAATATTATTGGGAGACTGATTGAGTACAAAATGAAACTGTGCATCTGCTTGATCCATCTTATCCCCCTCCAGAAGGCAGAAACAGGCTCTTCCCAATAAGTGATTCTAGAAAAGCAGGAAATTCTCTTAATTTTTATTTCTAGGAGAAATTACTACAAACCATTCTAAGTGATAAGAGTTTCAAAATCACACTTTGCTCCTACATGATTTTGAAATGTTGCCTAATTGCTTCAAATGTTTCCTTATCCCCTTCCATTTACATCCACTTTTTTCTTTTGCAAATGACAGATAATCAGTGACCAATCAGTGACCAACATCCTTTATATGGAATTTCTGGAGCCTTTTCTCCTTTTTTCAACAGCATGCCAAATTGCACCAGGAAAACATAATTTTTCAGATTTTTAATAAGCTCTTGTTTGTATCTACAATAAATTCTTGACCTAAAAAAACCCTTTCTGATCTTTGCATGTTAACATTACTCATAACCTTCTTTTTTGTTGCTGAAAAAAATGTTTGAGGAACTCAGAAAATAAATGTTATCCATCTGCTCTACTACTATTTCTCCAATATAGTGTATGGATATATATTTCTGAGTTATTTTTGTTCATTTCTTTATTACCTAGGTTTCCTCCACAAGCTAATGCTGGATCTCTCCTTCAATATTTTGTTGGCATAACCGTATCACATTAGCGATTGAAAGGAATTGGCTCAAAATCACCCAGAAATTTCCACAGCTGAAAGTACAATTGAAGTTGAGACTCACTAATTCGATCTATTGACCCTATAGTCCAATGGAGGGACACTGAACTTTTTGGGTAACAGTGGGAGAAGAGATTGGCAAAACTAGGTGCCTTCACTTCAGCAAGACGTGCTTGTCACTAAATAGAAGATTCTTATTTCTAGCCTCCTTCTTTCATTCACAGCATGGAAATGGCCTTCCATCTCCCTCTAAATCTTCATCAAACCTGTCTAGTTACTAGCAACTGATACTTGGACACTAGCTAGATATGCCTAAGATTCTACTTGAATATCTCTGCATGCTAAACAAATGCTCTAACACTGAGCTGAAACCCTTCCAGTTCATCACTTTATTTCACCTAGATATCTTACAACGGATCTTCCTTTTTGTGAATTACACTGCAAACCTCTGAGCAAGTGATTTTTAAGTTATAGTTTTTGTTTTGCATATAAAGGCTTTGTGTGTGTGTGTGTGACATTGCTTCTCCAGTATATATGTCTGTGTGTACACACACTGGAGAAGCAATGTCACTTAACCACAAGATAGCTACTAGTCAAGATTTGCCTAGTGATGTAAATTAGGTACACTGATGTAAATTAGATAAACTAAACTATAAAAGCCATGGTTATAGATTATGGCTAAGGTACTTTTTTCAAACCAGTCTGATCCATGAAAGCTCCACCTTTGGAAACAATGTGACTTAGCTTATTATTTGAATGCAATCATATCCTGCATTAAAAGTCTTTTAAAAAAAGAAACATAGTAGAAAACCTCTCATCTTCAAGAGAGATTATTTCAGTGTGCTACAAACTAAAAGAAATGTATCAGTATCTTCATAATTAGTCAATTGATCTTACCTGATCATACATGATAATTTTATCAGCCATAGTGTACAATAGTGTAGCTTGCGTAATAAGCTCTTTCTTGTTATCTTTGTTCTTTTCTTTCCGAGCCTGCTGTACATAGTAGGCTGCTAAGGTATCTAAGCAAGTCATCTGATCTTTTTCATGGTCTCTATAATCCAGGTTTCCATCTATGCGAGCAGCCTCTAATAGTTTCACAAAGTCTTCTGTTTTGCCTTGTTTGTAATATTCCAGCTAAAAAGTAAATGAAAGTACATTTAGCAATCTGCTATTAAAATTGCATTCATAAAATATGCATAGCACATAAAGTTAAGCAATTATATATTAAATTATGACAAGAAATCAGAATTCTGGGTCATATCTGTAACATGTCATCCTTTTCATTGCTTCTGGAAAGGTGTGTGTGTGTGTGATGGTTTTATTATGTGAATAATATCTCATTCTTACAGGAGTGGACAATCCAGAGGCTGCACACAGACCCAGTTGCATTTTGTGTGTGCAAGAGCCTCCTCAAATCATATCACTAATTTCAGCAGGAAAAACACCAATTTTAGTGGCACAATTGTTCATATTTGAGATGGAGGTAAAATAAGAGACAGTGTAAATACACTAAGTTTATTGCTTAATATATCTATTTCTTGAACTTCCCTTTCCACTGTAAAACAGACCAAAACCTTTGACTTCACCACTCTGATGACATCGCATCACCGAACTCCTATTTTTTTTTAAAAAAAGAAAAGTGCAGGGCTTATTGCAAAAATGCTACTTAATAAATACAGATATTCCATTCAAATCTTCTACAAATGATTACCTTGATAAGGGAACAGTAATAGAAACCTATACATTTCTACATTACCTTAAATCAAAGAAAGTTATCAATGAATTCAAAAATAATCACTATTTTAGAATATGTATGAACTTATAGTATAAATAAATAGAGCAAACTGATATGCAACCGACCGCTAGGGCAATCCATATGTGCAGCTGAGTATGTTCCTGTTTCAAAATGCTTATAACTTCATCCCCCTCCGGTAATTGATCGAAGTCAAGCTCAATGACCTAAAAATCAAATGACAACATTCAATATTTTATTAGTTATTAGGGCACATACAATAAGATCACAAAACAAAAACTACCTATATTTCCTAACAGTATGTTAAGCCCTCTCCTTGACTAAAATTATTTAAAAGGGGATTTCTAGAGTTCTACAGATCAGCAGCATCTCATTCAGGATAACTTTTCTACTCAGGAGCATACAGAAAAACAAGACTTCTGTGCGTTCATCCTACATAAGGACTCATTCACAGAATCTGATTATTTTCCAATGCAGAAGAAATTCCTCCTCCTGTGGAAACCAAGTAGACATACATATTTAGGCACATCTGTGCAGTAACAGTAAATCTAAGCTAAAAGCTTGACCAAATTCAGTGGAATTCCTGGTAAGCTTTGTGGTAGTTTTTCTACAATACAGAATTGGTTTGAACAATTCTGTTAACAAGACAATTATACGTAGGCTGCAAAAACCCAGGTGATCAGTAAGACAATGGCATGAAAAGACACTGAAAACCTACTTTTTGTACTATGTAATGGACATCTAGATTCTTGCACCTAGTTTTGGGAGCTCTATTCTTTTTGTTTTTACATTACAGTCTTGTCTACAGGTCACCTGTTCAAGAAGTGAACAGGTGTAAATTTGCTGAGCTTCCAACAATATTGGTCAGGTACTATTATTGCCTTTGGATAGATTTTTTTTTTTTTAAATATAGCAGCCGGGACAATAATCTTGCATTCACTCTCCAAATACACACACCTAGCCAGGCAAAATGACAGTAACAACAGTGATCTCTGTGTACCAAAATAAAGAAAAGTTAACACTGATAAAAGCAGACTCAAGATCCCTACGGCTTAGTGCCTCATAAAAATATGTTTGTGCCTTCATTCCCCCTCTCCCCAAACTTATCAGCTGTTAAAAGAAGCAACAAGTTAAGGGATATCAAAACTGCTAAGTACTGCTGGCAATAGGTACGCATGTGCAGGTACTTTTGTTTGTCTTGCCTTTAAGTCAGTTTCTGCTAACTACATGGACCAATTTTGCGTGCAATTTTGTAGGCAATATTTTTTTGTTAGTGGCTGACCATTGCTTTCATTTCTGGGTTGAGGGAGAGAGGGACTGGCTTCAAGTGACGCCTAAAACAAGAGAAGTCAAGTCTCCCGACTCCCTAGTTCAGGACTTTTAACCACAAGACCAAACAGCTCTCACACAAAATATTCGTGGGAGCAGATTTACTTAGCACCAACTCCCCAGCAACTCCACGAGGACCGCTCCACGCTCCTCCAAGGGAAGCGGGTGGGATATTCAATTACCCTGCCTTTCCCCCAAGCGACTTCAGACAAACACGGACCCACCGAAAGCGAGCCAAGGGACGCCCCGCACCAACTCACCTCGTCGGTATCCCGGAGGGGGATCTCAATCGAGCCCCGAGACATGATGGCGAGTGCCAGCGCCGCCGCTCCAGCTACGGGGGAAACCGCTACCACCCCACTAACACCTCACGCCGCCAACCTCCTGCCCGAGCGGCCGTCTGACCAACAGCCCCGCCGCCGTCGCCGTTCGCGCAGGCGCTGTCGAGCGTTAGCCCTCGGAAGCATGCGCGGAAGGCGACGCGAACGAGGGCGACGCACGGGGGGAGGGAGCAGGAGGTGGGGGACGAAGCGTTTGGCTGGTTAGTTTTCTCTCCGATCTTCTGCTGCGCTGGGCAGCAGTTGAGTAGCGGGGTGTACTTAGGGGAATGGCTCTTCTCCAACGCTAGTTTAATACGTCCAGGAAACTTTGTGAATCACTTTTTAAAAAGTCGTAAAAAAATTATAAGAAATTAGACATTGCTTATCCCCCTGTATAGATATTACTTCCCCTGCAGTACTGTGTTTTGTAATTTGCTGAGTGAGTAAGTGAAAGGGACCATAGAATTATTTAAAAAGAAAAGCTGTGTTTTAGAATAACTTGCTAGCACTGATGACGTTACTTCGTTAAGGGTAATGAAACGTCTGCAAGAAAACGAGAGAGCACCAAGGACCTTTCATTTCAACCCTGAGCTACAAATATTCTTCATTGATAACTTGTAAACTTTGCATTAGTCATCTTAATGTAAAAAACAATATGTTCAGCAAAAAGGATGGTGCATTCTTCCACAGAGTGTCTTGTAAGAAAAATCTACACAATGGTTCAAAAAACACGGAATGAGTTAAACTAAATTGTTTCTATTCTTAATAAATTCTGCATTTGTTGGGAGTTAAAATAGCATAACTTTGTTGGTGGAACAGTTGATCCATAAAAATCCTTCTGATCAACGTGCTTCACATTATTTCCAAAGCTGTGTAGGATTGGTTATTTTAGTTGCAAGATTAAAGCCTTCACTAGCACTTGAAAAAGTGGTAATTACTCAAAAACTAATCCCTGATTGAAAATAGGAATTATACAGTACATGTATTATATCACATTCCTATTTGTAACTTGAAATTATTAATCCACGCAGTGTGGCTATAGTATTATTATTTACTCTTCTAATTATCTTCTACATCACATTCCTATTTGTAACTTAAAATTATCTATTAATCCATGCAGTGTGGCTGTAGTAATATTATTTACCCTTCTAATTATCTTCTTTACTCCCCCTTTTACTGATACTACTATTATTATTCTCTTGCTTTGCATATACACTAAATGCTTTTATACTGGAGACAGATTCCTTGCGTATCTAATTACACTTGGCCTCAATCTCATCTTCTGCGATAGTTTGAATTCAATTTATGGAATACAAATTAAAGAACCCTTTTCCAACAGTGACCACAGCATGATTGACTCAACATACGTCCACACAAAAATCATCACAATGATGTAATCCCCAATTATAACATCAAAAAAGGCAACTATGATCTTAGAGACAACGATCTCATTCCTTGATTGGCAATTTCTATTCACTGGATGCAATACTGTTGAAGACCATTACAACATATTTTTACTTGAAGTCAAAAGAGTCATCAATCTATATGTACCAATAGCAACTCCCAAAACCAGAAAAAACAGATTACCCATAACAATAAGGAAGCTTCAATCCAAAAAGAGATCACTTCGGTGGAAAAACAAATCTGGTCACATTGCCAACTTCAAAAGCTGATACAAAAATGTATGCCACCAGATAAAAACTGAATGCACCAATTATCACATTAAACAAGAGGAAAACCTATGCACCAATTCCACCCACGCTTTCTACAATTTTATAAACAACAAACTAAAAGACTCAAGGTCCATCCAACCCCTGAAAGGACCTAATGGCAAAGACTGCAACGATGACACCATTAAAGCCAACCTCTTTAACACATTCTTCGGCTCAGTATTTGTAAACAGCAATGGATCATGCCCAGTATTTCCTATTCAAACCACAGACAACTACAATGATCTAATACATATCGATTTTACAGTAGAAAATGTTGAAAAAGCACTACGCAATCTAAAACCATCTCTATCTATTGGACCTGATGGAATATGTGCCTACGTCTTTAAAAAAGCAATCCACTGCCATAGCCGAACCTCTAAGCATAATATTTGAAAAATCTTTCAGGACCAGCTCCTTGCCAAAACTATGGTCACAAGCCACAGTCATCCCCATCTACAAAAAGGGAGACCCCAGCCTAGTTGAAAATTACAGACCAATCTCTTTATGCTATGTCACCTGTAAAGTCATGGAATCAATTATTAACCAGTCCATTATCCTCCACTTAGAGACAAACAACCTACTCTCTAATAAACAATTTGGTTTCAGAAAAAACTATCCTGCAATCTGCAACTCTTACACTGCAAAAACATATGGACCACACAATTTGATCAGAGCAAAGCAATAGACGCAATCTACATAGACTTCTGTAAAGCCTTTGATTCAGTGGTACACGACAAACTACTCCTAAAACTAAAATCTTACGGTATCTCTGGACACCTGCATAACTGGATAGAAGCATTCCTGTCAAACAGCAAATGGTCAAAATTGGGAGCGTCCTATCAAATTCTGTACCTGTCAACAGTGGTATCCCCCAAGGCAGTGTTCTAGGACCAACTCTCTTCATACTCTAGATAAATGACCTCTGTAATCACATTAAGAGCAACTGCGTTCTCTTCACTGACGATGTAAAGCTATTCAACATCACAGACAATACTGCCACCCTTCAAAGAGACCTTGATTATGTATCAGAATGGTCAAACAAATAGCAACTTAAATCTCAACAAATAAATGCTCTGTCTTACATATTGGCAAGAAAAATCAGAAAATAAAATACAGGCTGAATAGTCAAGACCTTGTTGATGGATCCAAACTCTGTCAAGGATCTTGGAGTACCCATCTCTAATGATCTAAGTGCTAGAGTCCACTGTAACTACATAGCCAAAAAGGCATTAAGAGTTGTTAACCTAATCTTACGTAGCTTTTTCTCTGGTAATATTACACTAATAACTAGAGCATACAAAACATTTGCTAGACCTATACTCGAATACAGCTCATTAGTCTGGAACCCACATTACATATCTGATATTAACACAGCTGAGGAAGTCCAGAAATATTTCACAAGAAGAGATCTTCACTCTACTCGTTGCAGAATACCTTATGCCACAAGACTTCAAATTCTAGACCTAGAAATCCTAGAACTACACTGCCTTCGGTCAGATCTAAGTATAGTATATAAAATCATACATTGCAATGTCCTACCTGTCAATGAATACTTCAGCTTCAGCTATAACAACACAGGAGCAAACAATAGATACAAACTCAAGGTTAATCGCACCAAACTTGATTGCAGAAAATACGACTTCAGCAACAGAATGGTCAATGTTATGTCCTGAGAACTCTAGGAGTTCTCACTCAGGTCCACTCACTTTGTGTGGGCGTTCTTCCCCCTTTCCTCATTGGTTGGTTCTCCCCAGCAGCCAGCTATAAAAGCAGGCTGCGGGGTCCAACCAGTTGCTGATTGCTGCGAGCCAGTTCCAGGCGTGGCAAGCACGGTCAGCCCTTTATTGTTATAATAAAGTATTGTTGCACTCATGCTCTGGTTCAGCCTCTCATTGCTCAAACTTAACACTGGCGACGAGGGTGGGATGGCTACCAGAAGCACCATGCAACCGCTGAGTCACTAGCCGCCGATCAGCAGCCCAGAAAGAGCGATCGGCCGGTGATAAGAGAAACGCTGATCCGCAGCCAGAGAGAGCGGTCAGCAAACAAAAAGAGCAAACAAAAAGAGCAAACGCTGATCCGCTGACAGAGAAAGCGGCCAGCAAGCGATAAGCAAACGCTGATCCGCAGCCAGAGAGAGCGGTCAGAATCGAAAGTTAGAAGCGTCTGTAGCCGCTTGTTAGCCCAGCTACAGGGAAAGTGAAGCGCTGCGAGCCGCAGCCGCTCAGTATCAGGCGCGAAATTCAAACGGTTGTCATTTGAATTTCAAACCTAAAAGGTACAGCACAGCGCTGTAGCCAGTCACTGACGCCCACACAGGCGCGAATCCAAACGCCATCAACGGCTAACAGCCAAACGTGGTTAACCCAGAGAGAAAGAGAGGATTGCAAACAGCCTCTCCTGAGCTGAAATCACTTGCCCACCACGGGCACTAAAACATTGTCTGCTGCCCCAGAGAGATTTTTTCCACAGGTTGTTCAACCGGTCCCAGCACCATGAGTTCCAATCCAGTCTTCCCGGCGTTCAAACCAGACGAGGAGAAGTGGGAATCGTATAAGAACCGCTTTAATCATTATATCGATGCAGTTGGCCTGGCGGATGCGGGAGAGCATCGGAAAAAATCGTATTTCCTAATCTACTGTGGAGCCACTGTCTACGATACTGCCACGGCGCTCGTGGCTCCTCGTGAGTTGAAAAACGTTCCGTGGTCTGAGTTACTTGAAATTCTCACTAACCACTATTCCCCCAGGCCCTCACAGATTGCCAGGAGATTCACCTTCCGTATGAGGAAGCAATCGAGCAAGGAGACCATCAATCAATATATGGCCGCTCTCAGAACAGCAGCACTGCATTGTGGGTTTGGAACCTACCTGGAGGACATGCTCCTCGATCAATTAGTCTGCGGGGTCAAGGACCTCCACCTGCAAAGGCGCCTTCTCGCAAAAAAAGACCTCAACCTCGCACAAGCAGTCGAGGAGGCCTTGGCAGCTGAGCTGGCAACAAACTCAGCCACCGAAATCCAGGGCCCAAGTGCCAAGCTGACATCACTTCCAGTCCACTCTGAGGAGGTGGTAGCAGAAGAAACCATCAGTGATGAAAACGAAGTCCACCGCCTCTCCAACGACAGACGGCCGCAGGTAGGAGCCAAACAAGAAAACATCGGTCCACCCAAGCACATCACCCTGTGCCTAGCCTGTGGGGGATCTCATTAGAGGGCCACCTGCAAGTTTAAAGGAGCCACCTGCAATAACTGCCATAAAAGGGGACACATCGCGAGAGTCTGCCAAGCCCCCCAGAGCGCAGCACAAAGGCACCCTCCCTCGCACTCGGGACCACAGAGGCAAGTATTGAACTGTCGCACGCACCACCTTGCCAAGCACACTTGCCACACTGTTAGTAAAATT